TCAACTTCTTGCGCATTAATGTTGGCGTCGTCAATATCCTTTCGAACTTTCTCTAATCTTCTACGCAAAAGTTGATTGTCCTCGTCAAACTTGTGATCATGAGTCTCGAAATGACGAAAGTAATTAACTTCCTTTATGGTTTTATCTACCAATCTCTTGGCAAGATCTGTTAAAATACCTTCCCCAGGGCATGCCATCTAAAATGGACAGGACATTAAATTAGGATTCCAAAAGTAGTAATTAAAAATGTGAAAAGCTATGATGATACATAATGTTTTACAAATATGTAATGAAATCTCTGGTGTAGTCAATGCCCAACCATTTGCATTCTCTTTTGTTAGTTTTGGGATCCAAATTTTAATTAATAATTAACTATATAAATAGATAAGTAATAAACGAATTACAGTATTGCAAACACAAAAATGTCATAAAATAAAATTGTATTATATTTAAATTGTATGTATACTATCTTTTTGGACCAACTTAATTTCCAATATCAATATTTAATAAATGCCTCCTAATTAAAAGAGTTCAGGATACAAGCAGACCCGCGGGTCAAACCTAGCAGGTTAGTGTTCTCCTGATGGGTTAGCGGACTACTATATAATTTTTAAAAAATATGTTTTTTATTTTTAATGTCAATCTACAAATTGTGATTTTATATTTTTAATGTCAACCTATAGATTATGATTATATCTCTTTTGGTAAATTTGTTCCCATGCAACTCACATTTAAACGACTAAAAGTTGAAACTAGAAGGACTAAAATTAAAATAACAACAAATTTAAAGGACTCAAAATTATATTAACCCTTATTAATTTTATTTTAATTTTGGAATATTTCTCAAAATATTAAAATGAATTATCACAGTGTATGAAAAAGATTCATTTTACATATAAGTAAACTTTTTATGGTCAAAATTTTTTAATTGGTTAATTAATTGACTTTAAAATTTACAAATATACTGTTTTAAATTAAGATTGCGAAGAATGAGGAAAATCTTGATCAAATAAGAAATTTTGTAGAGCGTAGACTCACATGACTTAAATGAAAATGACATAAAATTAACATTCGTACGTACTTTTGCCTACATATTCAAATTCTAACATTATTTAAAAAAATTATTACCGAACGTCATAAAAGTTACCATACCATCTTTAACCTGTTTTTGGGTTTTAATTTATTTCAAATACATTATAGAGAAACATATAGAAATGTCAAGTTGGGATAAAAGTATAGTTTTAAAAAGTTTTCAGCCGAAAAAAAAGTAATCATGAAAAGTTTTCCTGAAATTCACAAAATATCATAAACTCAAGAAAATTAGTAAAGATGTTTAAAAAAAATGGAGGCTTTAGAGAGGCATAAATAAAGAGAATACCTCAAAAAGGAATTTGTGGGAATAAAAGGGCTATTTTTGGGTGATTCGGTAATATTTAGGCAAATTATATAATAAACTAAAATTACATAAAAGTCCGAAATAATTATTGTGAGAATTAATAAAATTTCCGAAATAATTATTGTGAGAATTAATAAAATTTACTAAGAGAATTTTACCCAAGAAAATGCAATATTTTATTTTGAAATAATTTTTTAGCTTTAAAATTGTAATTTCGAAAAAATTAAAGGATAAATAATTTGGGATTAAATTTTGAGATGACAAAACTGCAGAAATTATTTTATGAGGAGAATAGATTTTGGAAGAGTTACTTATTGGTTGGGAATTAATGATGAAATTCAATTACGTACACGTTAGGAAATTGTCCAAAATTTCCTACCATAATTCCAAAAATTAAAACAAATCAATCCCAGTTCCCAAGCCTAATAAATCTGCTGATGGGCGAGGCTGGAGGTCTAATTATCCTAAAAATTATTTGGCCCAAAGGTGTGGTTAGAAATTATGGATTTCAGGTAATTATTATGAATCGTTAATAGTCTCATTTCTAATTGAGGCAAAAGCATAATTTTAGAAAGTTCTGGGTCCGTGAGGATAAGCATTTTAAAAACTATGCCCAAAAATTCATAAAATTCTTAGAAATTCATGGCAAATGGAATAAATGTCCTGGACAATATTTGTTGCAATTGTGGTGAAAATAAAGGAAATTGTCCAAAAAAGGAATTTTATTTAATTTATAAAATTTTGGTTAGTTAAAGGATAATTAACTAAAATTAATTATGAAAAATATTAGGATGTCTAAAAAAATTGGATAAAATTGAAACGCGTTTTGTCCGTTATATAATATAAATGCCATAAGATGGAGAAATTAGACAAATTATTTAAATTTATAAATATTTATAAATATAATTGGTCGAGTATATATTTATCAAAAGAATGAACCAAATATTCCATCAAGTCTTTTATATGTCTGCATTTACTAAAGTACTTAAGTTTATGTCCAATATGATAAAGATATCAAACAAATAACTATTTTCAAAAGGAAAAGAAAAAGAAAACCCATCAATTCTTCGAAACATTTTCAGCAAAAGTAGAAAATTAGCATTATGATGAAGGGTAAACTAGCATATTAATAATTTAGATGTAAGTGTATGTATTCAAAATAAACAGAGATCTATGTAATTAAGACAAAATGTGAAGGAGGTTAGTGTATAATGCTGAGCATAATTTGCAAAATTAGGAAGGGGCCTCGTTAATGTTCAAATTCTCGAGTATAAAAAGATTAAGAAATGAATTGAGAAATAAATAACATACTGGAATTCTTGTGGGCTTAATTGAGTGCTTAAGAGCTTTCTGATTCTTTTTTTTTTTTTTTGTTATTTAAACCAAGTTTGTAGAGTAGTCTTTCAAAACAACTTTGGAAAAAAATCTGTTTGAATAATTAATTTGAAAATATAAGACATATTTAATTAATTTAATTATATTAAAGAAGTTAAATAAGTTAATTAATTATAAGAAATATGCATGTTTTTCTTAAAATACCATAATCATCTTTCTTAACATCACCATTTCCTCTTTTAATTGATTATGCTTGAGGGAGTATTAATAAGAGTAATTTAGAAAAAACTGATAACTATGATAAATAGATTTTATATCTAGATCAAAATTAACTCAATAATTAAGTCCTATTGAAAGACCGGGAGAGTATAAAACAGTGAAATAAAAGATGAAAGAATATTTTTATACTTGCATAATTGTCCTTAATTAAAAACATGGGCTTTGTTTGTTTCTATTTTATTTTTACGTTTTTAGAGTAATTTTATAAATATTGTAAAATAATTTTTATAAAACTAAAAAATCATGTTTGGGTAATTGTTCCAAAAATTTGCATTTGAAAATAAAATTTTTTTTCAGGATAATTGTATTTAAAATCAACTTGAAAAACGACTAGAGAAGTGAGAGGTAGAGCGGAAAGTGCATTGACAATGGACAAAAAAGATAGATGATTGAGAAACAATGCAGATAAGCGTAAGAGATAGAATGGGAGAGTGTCTAAAAAGATTAGTTTAAAAAAAACAACTACATGATACAAAAAATTCAAAAAAAATGTAAAAATTGTTGAGTTTTTTGTTTTCTGAAATATATTTTTATTTTTTGTTTTGCAGAACACCTAGTTAAAAATTAACAAACAGACAATTTTTTTATTTTTAAAAATAAAAAATTGTTTCCAAAACAATAAAACAAACATGCCCATAATGTTTCTCCACTTATTTTCTAATTTTACAGAACAAGAAGATAAGACATCTAACATAAGTTTTTTTCTCCTGAACAATTTTTAATATTTTTCTTAGTTTTCAAAGCACATAAACAAACACACATTTTCAAACAATTTTTTTATTGCTTTTCAGAAGGAAAAAAAAACTGTTCCGAAAACAAGAAATGAAACAGTCCCTAAATGTTACTATAAATATTCAAATAATTAAGAGTTTCTCTAGCAAGCTGCATTCATATATTTCGTGATAGCTTGGTGGTGAGATGCGTGTGTAAAAATATGAAATTTTAGGATACTAATTTTGAGTAAGCTGCGTATAAAATATAAGTCAAGAAACTAAAGTAGGATAATTCTTGTAAAGCCTAATATTCTTTTTCCCTTATGTCATGTTTATATTTTTGGGTAACTGCTTTCCGCAGCAAGTGATTGGAAAAGGCTTCATCACACACACAAACATTATTAGCATATGATTTTCTTTTTCTTTCAACTAAATTATTTAGAGGAAAACGCCAATATATACTATAAAAATGGATCATTTTCATGTATACAAATTTATTTGTTATGAATTTTTATATGTAATATTAACTAAGATTAGTTTAACAATGCCAAACATATAATTATTGAATTTATATCTTAAATAACCCTTAAATATGAAATAAATGGAAAATAATAAAGGGCATATAATGAGGGGAAAAAAAGTGAATTTCAAAAAACATGCGTACCACTTCTTTGACTGATCCCTTCCACAAAACAACTTCCAGAAGCAGTAAAAGCGATCAACCAAATCAAAAAGGAAACTGGAAAAAAGAAAAAAAAGAAGAAGAAGACTATTAGTGATGATATTTAAATTTAAAATGTGCCTCATGCAGTCTATTTTGTTCAGATACCATAGATAAAATTACGGTTAATATAATTTTTGGTCCTTCAAATTTTAAATCATAGACTTTCGTCTCTCAAATTTCTTTTCATTGAAAATATTGTCCATATAATTTAATAAAAATCGAGACTATTTTGTTTTCTGAGAGACCATAACTTATAACTTGAAACTTAACAGACCAAAACTGAAATGAGGGTAAATGTAAGAAACAAAAAGTTATATTAACCCATAAAATAATGATGCAAAGCTATAAAACTTTCACGAAATGGAATTTTGCTTCTTAATATTAAGTTGTTAGAAAATTATAATTTACTGCGGTCGAATCCATTGCGATTTGCGAGCTGACATAAAGAGCAATATGTCAATCCAGTCATATCAAAACCTAACTATACTTACTTTTTAACTCTCTGGAGAATTCAAAGTCGTGCCTTGAACAGAGGAGTGCCTTTTTTGTCTTTTGTTTTTTTGTAGGAAAAAAATTAGAAGCACAATGCTATCAAATAAGCAGAAGAGTTCAAGTGCGAACAAACTGCAAAATAAAAGGATAAACTTATCAATAAAATAGGGCAACCAGAGTCACAATAAATGATTGTTTGGTTGAGGGTCTCATAATTAATCGATTTGGTCAAAATATAAGTGTCTGGGTTTAAGTGTCTCATAATATAAATGACTTTACAAGATATGGGTGTTTGTATAATTTTTTAGAAGGGGGTTCTTCCCCCTTTCTTTATCTTAAATAACTCCTAAATTCAGGCCAAAAAAATAACCCCTAAACATAAAATAGATGGCAAATAACAAAGTACACATACATTGAAGAAAAGAAAAGTCGATTTCAAGAATGCGTACCCCTTTGGCCAAAAAAATTTAAAAAAAAAAAAAAGAATGCGTACCCCTTCTTTGATGGACGTTTTCCAAAAAAAAAAAAAAAAACACTTCCAGATTTAACAACATAAAATTAAATGATCAAATAAAAAGGGAAAAAAAAACTCTTAAGGGCCTCATTCAAAATTGGGGAGAAGTTAACGGCAATTTTTAATGGTGTTTGTCTTTTTATTCTTTGACCTTCGGTTTTGTGAAGTTTCCTTGTTATAAGTATAACCAGTTATCTCTCCATCTTCTAAGATGATCGGGAAAAATATTCGATTCTAAAAATTATACCAATTCGAATTCTTAATATAAAAGCTAGATAAATTATTTGTGAATATTAAAAAAATTAATTAAGTTAGCTATTTGTAATAAATCGATATTCTCTTCTATAAAATACTCTTATTAATTATGTGTATTTAAATTAACCCTTGATAGTAACCTCTTAACATGTAGAATCATCATAGAGATTATTCAAGGACAAAATGTATAAATATTTGAGGCAAAATGAGTTAGAGTCTTGTATTTAGGACGCGATAAAATTTTCAATTAGTTCTCATATTGAGATTTGGGGTAGTATTTGTTTAAGGATAACACTTATGTCAAGTTATTTATATATGTTATGTCTAGTCCCCCAATCACGTATGTCCATATGTCTTTTTTTATTTTACGTAGATTTATTGTTGAAAGCTTCTAAATACTAATATTTCAAAAATAGAACACATTGTCATGTTTACTTAGAGAACTTAACATAATAAGTATAAAGAACTTGATATAAGTATTGTCCTTTGTTTAATATACCTTGCCGGATCTAATTTTTTTTAAAAAAAACTATAACATTTAATAAATTAACATATCAATTAGGATAATTTCAGTCACTACCGCGTCCTATATTCACTGTCAAATATGAGGACAGTTTGCATCTGGCTATCAAGTTTGTTTTGTGGCCGGATCTAACTTTCAAGCTTAATCAAAAGGAATATTATTGCTAACATCAAGACGAGATATATAACAAATTATTAGCTTTCCTTATAATATAAAGCATTATTTATGAAGAGATTGTTCATCTAGTGGAGTACTATCTAATTAAAACGCTCACAATCATCCAAAAAATGGCATTTACATACTGAAACAGAAGACAGAACTTATGAAGCAGAGGAGAGACATACAGTTAGTTATAGTGTAATTAAACACATGTACAGCGATAAACGAAAATTAAATAAGAGAGAAAAAGGGAAAGTACTCATCAAAAAAAAAAGAAAAAGGGAAAGCAACGAACTTACCTGTTTTCGCAAATTGCAAATTGCTTAACAAGAATAGACTCCTTAGCTTTCTGTTCAGATCAGATTGCTTTGAGAAGAAAAATTATTGGAGATCGTAACAAAAATTTTAACAAAATGAGATAAAACTTTAAAAGGATGAATCAATAACGTAACGTACTTACCAGGAAAATAGAGCACTGACAAATTTTAACTTATGAGGCTTCAATGATGGAAACATTATTGAAATTTCTTTATGCCTTTTAAACATTTTAGTATTAAAGTATCTTAACTTCCCCACCCAAATTGTCAAAAGGCATAATTTATGATTGATTATGATAATTCTTTTTTCCAACCACAGAAGAACATATTCTACCTATCCTTCCGGAATCAAGGCCCTCATATATGCAATATATGAATATAATGAATGGTAAATTATTGAAATCTATAAACAGATTTTGATACATAGTAAATATAGTGAAGTATCATAAATAAGGTTATGAAAAAACGTGTTATAAAAAAGAAAACAAATATAATAAAATTTGAATGAAATTAAATTTAAATGATGAAAAATATAGTTATTTTTTGATACTCCCTCCGTTCCTTATTATAAGAGACATTTGATGCTTATGGCATGTTCCTATATATAAGAGACACTTACAAGTTGTCTCTATTTTTGTGTTGATTTACTATTTTACCCATATTTATTATCTCCAACTCACACTCTCTCTCCCTCCCATTTCTCTTTCTTTTAATAATTTAATTGTTCTCTCTCATGCTCTCTCTCCTTATTAATGAGGGTATTTTTGGAAAAAAATTATACTTTTTACACATTAATTGTTCTCAACTAATTTTAACTGTTTTTTTGATCAACGTACTTCGGTTATTTGTCTCTTATAATAAGGAACGGAGGGAGTACATCCGAATAAATGAAAAATATAGTTTTAAACTATCATGAATAGCACTTTTTTTAAACATTAAATAAAATATTGCCTGTGATGTATGTTATGTACATTTATTACTCATGAGTATTGTCAATGATAATCATTACAGGTTTCAGTGTTTATCACTTTAATGAGCACCATAAACTTATTAAATCTGAATTGTTTATATTTTATTTAGATGCTTGAGATTTGATTTCTTTTTTATGTTTATTTATTTAAAATAATTATTTTAATATGAATGAAATTAAAATAAAGATAATCTTGTAACTATTTTTTTTTTCAAAAAATAGTTTTTTTATATTAAAATAAATAATTAAAGATTTTAAATCTAGACTGTTCAAATCAAATATAAACAATCTAGATTTAATAAACTTATGGTACTCATCAAAACCATGAGCACGGAAACTAGTTTCCTAGAAATTTGCCTTCTTCGCTTTTCCATCCGTCTCCGTCTTTAAACTTCTTTAATTCTTTTTGATCGAATATGCTTCTTTATTTCTCAATTTTCAATTGTATTTGTTGGCCCAATAGAAATATTTTCTTTAAGGCTTTAAATCTAAGTTTTGAGAATTTATTAACTCTTAATTACCTAGTTTGTATTTAGCTGATTGCATATTTATTTGTCATGTATGTCGTAACCATGCATTTGAGCATATAATATTCTTGTTTGAGTTTGCGTGATGGCCAATGGACATGTGTATTTGCTTGGATAAAAAATCGCAGAACACAATTTTGGGATGGGAACACCGGAGAAAAATGAATTTTCTAAGTTGATCCAGAAATCTGAAAAGAAAAATTAATGATTTCTCTGAATGACTTGGATTACAGAATTTGTCAAGAAAAATTTCATAGGAAGATATTCCTGAGAGCTTTAAATATCAACTCGAAATTATTTAGCGAGTTATGAAGAGATTGTTGTTTAGTAGAGCATTATTATTATCTAGCTAGTTGAAAACACTCAGAATCATCTGTGAAGAAGTAGAATAAATGTTTCTGAGGTGAAGCAGAAGAGAGAAAAGTAAATAAGAGATAAAAGGGAAAGCAATTAATGAATTTACCTGCTTTTGCAGATTACAAATTGCTTGATGATGCCTTCCACAAAAGTAGTCTCCTTAGCTTCCTGTTCACAAGATGGCTTTGAGATGGACAGAGAATTTAACAAAATTAGAGGATGAATCCCCTTAGCGTACTTATCAGGAAAACTGAGCACAGAGCACTGCGAAATTTCCAGTTATGTGACTTCAATGATGAAGGTTGTTGCTGGCTACAATGATCATCACGAGTGGGATACCATTTATTTGACAAGCATGTCCCGTGGTGGGGACACCAAAAGAAGAGCGCTAATATTGACCCATAGCCCACGCCCGCCCTCCCACGGCTGGAACCCATTAGTAGATGTTTTAATAAATATTCCCTCACATGTGAGAAATTGTACACTTTTAATTATTAAAAAAACAGAGAAAATGGCAAATAAAAAGGCTGAAAAATATGATATTACACATCACGCACCTTATATTTCAAGATCCTAAAAAAAAAAAAAGATATCTGATATGACATTTTATAAATATAATCAAATAATTAAAATATCTTTATATTAAAAAATTTGGTAACAAGTTGTGAATTAATAATAATAAGTGTTGAACAACAAATGATAAGAAATATATTAACAATGACAAATTATTTATTAACAAGTTATTAACTGATAGAAAAAGTGCTCTGGAAAAAAAAAAACAGAGACAGAGAGAGAAGGCAAAAGTGCATCTTTGCTCTTTTAACTTCCGGCAAAGTGTTTGGATAAAAATTAAGTCCTATTTTAGAAAAATTTTTAGAGTTTGAAATAAGTAAATAAGAAAACTTTATTTTGATTTGTGTAAAAATATTTTTTTTAAAGTGTTCTGTGACCTCTCAAACACTTTTTTAGTTTTTTAATACTTTACTCGGATCATTTAATTTTAAAAAACATTTTTTTAGTTCTTTAACCTTGTCCGAGTTAATCTCTAGTATTATGATTTTATGTGTCAATTATTATTATTCTTAAAAATTAAACTTAATCTATAAGTATTTTAAAATATTTTGTTAACATTTAAATTTTTAATGTTAGACAGTATTAATGTTGAAGGACTGAAAAGATATGTGCTTTAAGTACAGGGAAAAAGAACGATTTTCCAGCTCAGTTCTATTAAACAAGAAACACCAGATTTTGATCCTATCCGCATTTCACAAGTAGGGACAAATTATGCCTATAATTCCCCTCACTTTGTTGAATCTTCCTTCGATTTTATTATTGAGCTTGCATATTCTTCTTCTACACCCATATACTCTACTTTGAACCTTTTTAATCAAGTTTGAATAACTGATTCTCAACATAAGAACTAGTTTAACATTCAATTTAGTCCTAAATGTAAAACCTAAATTCATTTTGTTTTTCATATTTATCTATTTTTCTTAAAATAGTTCTTGTAGTAATTTTACCTGTTAAAGGTTCTACCAAATCACGATTCTAGCTAATATATATTTTAACAAAACTATTTTTAAAAAATAACACTTATGCATTATAAATAACTAACTTAACAAACTAGAAGTTTAAAATGAACTTGCTATCATATTGAAAATTGTCAAACAATCAATAAATTTATATGTAGAGATGTCCTTCTCAACTGTGGTTTAGCTATTAAACTTTTGAGTGCCTGTTTCTCTGGTCCTGAATTAGGATCCTCGGCTTTAATTTCTTTTACTGTTTCCTCCTTACTCTAGAACATCAAAAGATATACAATTTATTTATGAATTATTTTCTCTTTTTATTGAAGTGCATATAATAAATTTGATTCGTTTCAAAAGCACACTGTTATTTCTAGTGCTTCCCCAAAAATCTTCCGTAACTTGAAATTTTCGAATGGTTGGTGAAGTTATTATTATAGCTTTACCATATGAATATTATTTAGCTAGTCATGAAGAGATTGTTTATCCAGTAGAGCATTATCTGGCTAGTTAAAACACTCACAATCATCTAAAAAAGCGAAATTAATGTTTCCCTTTCAAGTCTAAGTAATGAAGCAGAAGAGAGACAAACTTGTAATATAACTAAACCCAGTGACAAACAAAAAGTAAATAAGAGATATAAAGGGAAAGTGATGAACTTACCTGTGTTTTGCAGACTGCAAATTGCTTGACGATGCCTTTAACAAGAGATCGAGTTGTCTCCTTAGCTTTCTGTTAAATCAGATTGCTTTGAGAAGAAAACTCATTGAAGATCACAACAAAGAGTTTAACAAAATGAGATAAAACTTTAAAAGAATGAATCAATAACGTAATGCACTTAATTACCTGAAATATAAAACACTGAGATAGCACACAGAGCACTGTGAAATTGTAACTTATGAGACTTCAGTGATGGAAGAGTTAATGAACGCATAAGTAGACGAGATTTCAAGTCTTCTTAGGTATCGGGTCACCAAGTCAACTTTGCAAGTCTTCCTCATATTATTATTATTCTAATATTTATCATCGATAACCATTTATTAATAAAATATTGTCTTCTTCGTTTTCTTGTGGCCCCCTCTTTACATACTTTATGCTTCTTTTTTCTCAATCTTCAAATGTGTCGGCCCAATAGGAATGTTTGCTTTAAGCCTTCTAAATATTTTAGTATTAAAGTGTCTTTTTTCCCACCCAAATTGTCAAAAAGGCAATATTCTCCATTAATCATGCAACAACATGTTTGCTATCTCAGTCAATGTTACATTGATTATGATGATTCTTTTAACCAACTTTACACAGAACAACATACTCTATCTATCCTTCCGGAATTAAGAGTCAAGACCCTCATGTATACAATATATGAAAATATTGAATGGTAAATTATGGAAATTTATAAGCAAATTTTGATACATAGTAAATATAGTCAAGTATCATGAATAAGATTAGAAAAAAATTGCCATGAAAAAGAAACCAAATATAATAAAATTTGAATGAAATTAAATTTAAACAATGAAAAATATAGGGTTTTTTACTGGCATACTATAAATAATAATTTATTTTACCGAAATGCTATAACATGAAAAATATTAACCGAGATGCTACATTTTAATAATCGAGTTCAAATTTACAAAAAGTCATTCTTATTAAAAACGAGTTTAGTGGGCCTCACATAGAAAAAGTGAAGTTGTTCACACCTTGAACAACTTTGGCTATGTTTTTTGATGTATCCACTCTTAAATATGTATTTTTTCTTTAGCTCTTTTGTCCTTCCATTATTTTTCCTTCTCTTTAAATTTCTGCGTTCTTTCATTCTTCTAATTAAATTGGCGGTGTGTGCTACCTTCTTATATAAATTTTGTTTCAACTTGAAACTTAATTTTTCATCTGACTACGGTACAGTCCCTTGATTAACTTCTTTTATAATTTTTATATGTATTTTGTTAAATGATGAGTAGAATTTTATATTTAATCATTTTATATGTTGAGTTTATTTTAACTTTTATATGATGCCTTGTAGGCGTTGAATTTTATATTTAAAATTTTCTAAATATTAATATATATTTCATTTATCAAATTTATTAGAATATTTAATTACAACACTTATTTGTAGATAAGCTCTTCATTTGACAACTGCCTCTAAATTTAACTCATTTCATTTTACATATTGATTCACAGTAAATATTGCAGATATTTGGATGGTTGATCAGTTATTTGATTTTAGTGAAAAAGATATAAAGATCATCGACATTATCTCATTCTGACTCCCCCAATCCTTCTCCATTTCAGTCATTCATGTCCTTATTTGATATTTATGACTAAATATAAAACTTCTACTTTTGAGCAAGGTGGATTTGCCATCTATCGAAAATCAATTTCTTTAGTTAAATCACCCAAGTTTGATTTAAATACTCCAACTAAGTAGACAAATAAGATATTTGACCAAGCTCAAGAAGAAGTGAATATATAACAACAACCACAACATATATAGAGGAGAACAAAATGTGGTACCGGATGTCATTAATTTTAAGGTAAATCAATTTTTATTTTTGGTTCGTGTTATTATTAATTTTTTAAAACCCCAATACTTATTTTCATTAATCACTTTTTAATTAGTATAGTATTAATTATTAGTATTATTACAGGGTTAATGCAAACTTTAGTCTTTTAAGTTTATCATCATTTTGGTTTCAATCCCTCAATTTTCAAATCATAGGTTTTAATCCCTCAATTTTCTTTTCATTTAAAATATTGGTCCTATAATCTAAAAAAACTTAGACCATTTTGCTCTTTGAGGAACCAAAACCTATAGTTTGAAATTTAAGGGACTAAAATTAAAATTGGGACAAACTTGAGAGACCAAACTTATATTAACCCATTATCATGTAATGATTAACACTCATCCAATTTTTTACTCATAATTCATTATTCAAATGATTTATCATTGTTAAAATTATTGCAAGAGGCTATGCGTGGTGAGGGATTGGGTGATGAAGTTTAAAAGTTGTTGATACCAAAATGAATTTCAAAAGCTTATTGAAAAAGTTGTTCTTAGTTGGATGAATTTTAGAAGCTATTCAAGTTTTGAACAAGTTTGACTATAGTATTTAGAGAATTTTTTTTAATGTTTATAGGTTATTTGTTAAAAAACCCAAAATATAGTTATAAACTATCATGAATGGTACTTTTTTCAAACATTAAATAAAATATTGCCTATGCTGTATGTTAGGTACATTCGTTTCACGTGAACATTGTTAGTGACAATCATTACTACTAAAATATTGTCTTTTTTATAAGTATTTTTGTAAGTGTTTTTTGAGTCTGAAAGTATACTCTGACCCTAATGAATCCCAGAATCCCAACTCATCTAAACTTTTTATTATAAAAAAAAATATTGCCTTCTCTTTTTTTCTATCTATCTCCCTCTTCATTTCTTTTTCTGATGGAGTATGCTTCTTTATTTCTCAGTCTTCAAGTGGGTTGGCCCAATAGAAATATTTTCCTCAAGTTTTTAAAATTCTTTTGTTGTTAAAGTATCCTTTTTCCGCACCCAAATTGTAAAAAAAAGCATTCTATTTCTGCATTAACCACACAACTATGTTTATTACATCTTAGCCTTGGGGAGATCGTCCTT